CCAGGGGACGCAGGTGTCACCCAAGCATGGCTTGTGCCACAGCTGAGGAACCTCGCAGAGTGGGAACAGCTCGGCACAGGGAGGGTTAAGGCAAAGAAAACCCGAGCAGGTTCTTTAACCGATGCCAAAGACAGCAGAGGAAAATAGGACGAGCAGGCGAGATCCGTGGGCAGGACAGAGCCAGCTGGCTGGCACCGCTTCCCGGCCCGCGCCTTTCGGAATAGCTCCAGGATGACGAAGGCAGAGGGGACGCCAGCCCAGGGCTCGTGTCCCACGTCACACAGACCCTCCCCAGGGGCCTGGGGCACGTCTGCTCAGCCCCAGCCCTGAGCTTTCACAGCTCTGCTCCCAAATCCCCCCTCCAAGGGCATCCTGGCCAAAGATGGCGCTTGGAGGGAGAGTGGGAATGCCGGGAGAGCTTCTCGGTCCCTGCCATGGACACTCCTGCTCCAGCCGGGTCACGGGTTTCCCCTCTCCCTGCCGCCTCCAGGTCTCTCCTTCCTCCCTCCCGGCTCCCTGCCAAGCATGACGACAGTGACCATCCCACCACGGTCCCCCCCTGACCCCACGGCACTCACCGGGCTTTCAGCTCCTTGTGCTCCTCCCGGACTTTGCTGAGCTCCAGCTGCAGCCGAGCTCTCTCCTTGGCCACCGAATCCAAGGTCTTCCTGGCATCCGCCAGCTCCGACTCGTAGGCAGCTTTGATGCCGGAGACCTCCCGGCTCACCACCTCCTCCGATTCGGTGATGCGGAGCCTCAAGCCCAAGCCAGCGTTCTCCAGCTCCAAGGAGCGCACCTTGTCGATGTAGACGGCCAAGCGGTCATTGAGCTCCTGCAGATCCTCCTTCTCCTGCAAACGAGTGATACGGGTGGGGGACAAGGGGGTCCCCGAAGCCCCGCTACGGGTGGTCCTCTTCTGCGAAGGGAAGGTGTCGCCATGGTGTCCGGCGGTGAGACGAAGGACACGGCACAGGTCACAGCTCAACGTCCCACGCCACCCACCCAGCTGTCTCGGCTGCTCCTGGTTCTCTGAGTGACTTGCTTATATCCCAGCTGGGCTGTGCACTGGGAGGAGGAGCCGGGAGGAGGAGGAGGGTGGCGTTAACCGAAACCTGGGTGGAGACAAGCCACTTGCATCAGTCAAGGCTTTTGCTTGGGAAAAGCTGGAG